TTTGTTTTTAAATTAAATTTTAATATTTCCAAAGAAAATATCAAATAGTTAAAAAAATTATAATTCAATATAAATCTAAAATATAATTTATATATTCAAAAATTTTATAAATAATATGTCTAATATTTATTTATTATAATTTTTTTTTGAAAAATATTTGTTATAAATTTTAAGTATATAAAAAAAATGTAAATTGTACATTCTACATAAAATACTTGTTGAAATAAAATGTACATACATACAATTACAATGATACAATACTTCAATTACTTTTAATATGATTTTTAATTTAAATTATCTATCTAAATAATCTGAATGGTTTTCATCATTATATATATAATTGGTGTTAACCAATTCAATTTTAAAATTTATATAAAAAAAAATTACCAAAAATATTGGATTTAGTGAAAGACTTTAGGCCCCACAATATAATAAAATCACAATCTGAATACCAACTTTAAAAGCATGGCAGTAGTGATTTTTCTCCATTTCAATTGTTTTTTAAGAAGAAAAAAATTATTTATAAAATAAGTTATACATATTTAACACAATAATTGAAAATTGAAATTTTTATTTTAAAATAAATAAATATTGGAATCTTATAAGTTAATTTATCATATAAAAATTAATTCTTTTGTTGTGTATAATAAACGACTTTAACTATCTAAAAATTCCAACAAATTTATAAAAAAAAATTAGTTTAATCTTAATATTTAATAGTATCTCTCTATATATATATATAAAAAAAGTTATACTAGGAAATAATACTAGTATGAGTATTAGAAGAAAGAATAGGAAATTATTAAAAAAGATTAGTCTGTTTTGGCGGGAAACCGGTGGGGTGTCATGTCAGAGCAGTTTTCCAGCCTCGGGTACGCTCTTTCCGACACCCGGCCCCACCTTCTTCTTTTTTTTTCTCTCTAAACAAAACCTAATCCGTGATCCCACCACCGCCACGCGCTCTCCCACTTCGTACGCGCCACGCGCCTTCCTTCTACACGTGTCCTTCTCAGAGTGATCCGCGTGCAAGGACTCTCGAAAGCCGCGATATGATCTGGTGCGGTGGGGTCCACGGAAGGGTTCTTGTTTCTACGACCGTGCGCCCCAAAAGTCCACCATCAAACCATTTTCGTCATCGTTTGCGGACCCTCCATTCAACCCGTGGGACCCACGCGCTTTTCCTTTTCTTTTTTTTTTTTTCTTTTTTTTTTTTCCTATGACTTCTCTGTTTGTCCACTCTTTCTTTTTCACCTTTTAAAAAAAAACACACACACAAAAATAAAATAAAATAAAATAATTAATTTTGCCTCGTGCTTTGTTAATTTATGATTATTACTAGTGGGTTTAGTTTATTGAAAAACAAATATTATTATTGAAATGAAAAAGTCTGACTGAGAGGATAAGTCTTTTGAAAAAAATAAAAAATAAAACAAAATTGTTGGCTTCTAACGTTAATATTTCAAGAGAAGTGATAACAGTATAGTCTTTAATACATTTTTTTATTGGTTAAAATTTATTAAATGTTATAAAATTAAAAAAAAAGTTATTAAATAGTATGAGATTCATTAATTTTTGTGTTCTTTTAATAAACTTTAATTGATAAAAAAGAGTGTATTTGAAAGAGCTTGTCATCATATATTGTATACATTCAAAGTCTTAAATTTATTTTTTTTAACCGTAGAGAGAATTTGTTCAACAATTTGAAAACGCGTCATGGATTCAAGCTCTTTTTTTATTTCAAAAC